TTTTTCGATATTATTTCATCATTTTCTATACGCAATTTACGGGCGATATTTTGCACTATTGTATTTGCATGAATTGATTCGATTGTTTGTTCGTTTGTTTGTGAATAGGTGAATGAAGCTGTTGATCACTTTGATGATGAATTTTTTGTATGGGATGGGATGATGGATCCAGCATGATTAAACGTTGTTTTAAGGCAGTACTACGTGACAACATCGGCAAAGTCTTTCTTATGCTACCGGATTTTCGACAGTTGGTAGACGCTGCTAGAATCGATTGGCCCACCAATGGTGGATTTGGTAATAGTTTCAAGTACTTGTATGAACAATACGAAGACAACGTTCGAACAAACTTGAAAACGCATTGCGAATCCCGTTTAAGAAAATTTTTCAAGCTAAAGACATTCCAGCTCAATGACAATGCAATTCGTTATAACTACTTTAACAACTTGTACGGCTCGCCCAATGAATTGCCATATTACGATGAAACTGACATCAAAAATGCCGTTAACTACGCATATCATCGGAAAGACAACATGAATGACGATGTTGAGCGACAGCTTCGATTGGGCGAGTTGTTGGATGAGCTACGTTGGTTAGGTGCACCAGAAGATTGCAACATTAAAGCATATGTCAGCGAAAATTGGTTCCATTCGATTCGTATGTGGATACATATTCAACGTGAAATCCAATGGTATCACAATGAGTACAAATGTCGTCGTGATGCACCACAAATTAAAAATTTTGTCGTTGTACCAATGTGCAGTTTCCAACGTCGTCACATTCGCATCGATACCGACGCATTGTACACCATCCTAGCCAGTGTAAAATTGGTGCCATTGAAGTGCGGTTTGAAAAAACGCAAAGATAAAACGACCAATTCGATCAACATAACGAGCAACGAATTCCGCAGAAATAAAATTTTAAGTTGGAATCTGTTTTTCAATGTGGAAAAAATTCAACAACTGGTACATTTCAAAAAGTATTTCGATTTCCAAATTTGTTCGGACGGTGTGTCTGTTTCGGTGATGTACAAAAAGCCAAAATTACCACCACTCGAAATAAGTGATGCTGAAATCATGAAAATGTACAAAGGGAACAAATTGAAGTATGCTATTGGCTGTGACCCGGGCATGAAAACCTGGAACGCTTCAGTGCGTCGTGATTTGGATACCAAAGAAGAGGTAAATTCAATTTTTCATAATGAATGAAAGTGATTGATATTGTGATTGTGATTGTGAATACAATGTCGTTTTTGTTGTTATCATTTTGTTAGGTGAATTTGCGCATATCCAGCAAACGGTATCACTGGGATGCGAAACAAGGCCGACGTGATGCAAAAGCCGAACGAATCACCCGATTATTTACATACGACGAGAAAGCTGATCGCAATCGAGTTGCAGCGACTCTGGGTACAATGCCATCACCAAGAGAAACATCATGGCGCTCGTATATTGAACATCGACTACGAGTTATGAATGATGGCATTGAAACGTACACGTGTAAGCAATATGCACGCTTGGGATTGGACAAGCATATCGACTCGGTTCGTGCGATCGACAAAACGGCTTGCAAACTGACACGCAATCAACCATCAATTTTCTACATGGGAGCCAGTGGATCCACACCAGCCAACTCACCGATCAAAATCAAAAAACACGTGCGATGCCCAGGCACTCGCAAACTGATTGCAGCCATCATGAAACGTGGAAATTGCATCATTCGAATGGTCGATGAATACATGACATCACAGCATTGCCCATTGTGTTTCAAGCGATTTCCACAAGAAACTCGACGTGATCGATACAAGAAATGTGTGGGTTGTGTACCAAATCCAATTGTTGGACTACCACGAACCATCGTAACCAATGTGAGCAAACGATTACTACAAATGCGACGAACAATTGAACGAATGTGGCGCGAGATGCGTGATATAGGCGATGTCATTGCTGCAACTCTTCGAGATGGACCGAATGCAGGTCGTTTGGTGTCAAAGAAGCAACGCTTCTTCAAAACATGGCTACCAAATGTTGCAAACGTTGAAATCGAGGGAGCTGCCGGAGCACAACCAACGCTCACAACTGTATGGCACCGTGATATCGCAGCAGCGAAGCTGATCCTCTACAAAGGTATGCAATCAATTGAAATTGATACAGATTTTGAAGCAATTGTTATACATGTAATGTGTTTTTGTTATGTATCATTCGGTAGGTGAATGCGTGGTGTTCAAGCGGACAATTCATCCAAATGTACGGAGACCACGCCGTGTTGACAACAATCAGCCATTGCCGTTGTATCGAGGTCAGAATCAGAATGTCAACAGTGTACATCTGCAGCCGCTGTAGTAGCAGCCCTCATTCAACAACATTCAAACAATACTAAATTTAGACAATAGTTTATAACAATTATTTGTTAGTTCGCTAGGCTTGATTAAATTGTGGCCTTGCCAAAGTACGAGTACCTCTTGGTATAAATTGTACTCGGTAAAGGTCCATTTTCCAAGGCGGCGATTACAATCGTGTACGATTTCAAATCGTTGGCCAAAATCGTTAACGATTGAGATCAATGGTTTTTTTGACGCCAAAATCGTGAACGATTCATTATTTGTGGTTTTTTTGACGCCCGATTTGAAAAAAAATCGTGGACGATTGCAATCGTCGCCTTGGAAAATGCACCTTAAGTGGAGTCTATTGCATATACAATAGCATAATGATGATTATGAATCAAGCTACCATCACTTACAATGGCAAATAATGTAAAAAACTGCATGATGGCGCCATCTCTATGTGCTCATGAAAATTAGAACAAAAAGTTTGTGTAGAATGTTAGTTGTTTGAAGTTTGAATACGGAATCATTTGTTGTGACGTCTGTCATTTTACGCTCGATAAAGATATACCGTGTAAATTGAACAAAAACCGATTTATTATTTGTAATTGGTGAATTTGTGATGGAAAATAAATTGAAATTACTTTGCACATCGAAATTAACTGCGAGGACGTTGCATATCACATGGTTTTTCTTCACACAAAATCAGTTGACATTTTTGACTTTTTCGCACCAAAAAAAAAATGTTTTAATTGCCTTTGGTGCTCGTTTGGATCGCGAGTTCAATGCCAAGCACATAGAGATGTCGCTCGGAACGTGAAGCTCAAAAAAAATATACAGGTGATATAGAAAGCAAGTGAGGGTAGGAATCAAGTCAATTTTTTCATATCAGTCTAATTGAATTGTGCTTTCTTTTCTTTTTTTCTTTCCATTGCGACGGTAAAATTGACTGAAACTACACACGAATGCTACCCCAAATTCGACCGTAAACTTGGGCCTGGTAATGGGTGATTTGCGCTAACAATTGTTCCTTGGGAAGTAATTAAAGAGAACACGCCAATAATAAACATTCATTTTCTGATTTTATTTAATAAAGAATAACTTCACGAAAACATATAATACGTAATTTGAAAGTGATTTTCTTATTTTTTACATTTTTTAATACATTTTCAACAAATATTTTCTCTTAAATCTAGAAATACTTTAAAAAAGTATTTTTTTTTTATTTCGTTTAATTCTAAATATTTCGAAACGATTACTATAGTAATAAGAACTGGAATTTCCTAAGTCAAAATTGTCATTACTGATGTGTCGTTGTTCGGTTTTGTGGAATAGATGGAAGAATTGTTTTAATTTCGTTTTCCTTCAAAAGGCCTGGATAGTCGTTACGGCATCTTTCGAATTGATTTGCTGTCATGTTATGAAAACGAATCAAATATATAACGCCTTTCATTACATTCCGAAGATTTTCGATAACATTCGGATCGGTTCGATTATATATGCATCGATTTTTTGCCCAATTGATAGCCGCTTCAAAAACCAACAATTCGTTTCGGTCTTGATAATCAATGTCCAAAACATGTTTCACCACATTTCGACTGCAGTGTACAAGTGAATTTGCATGAAATGCTCCGTTCAAGTTAATTTTACAACAATGTCGTTTGATCCAAGCCTGATCGAAGTCCATCCAATCAACAAATTGAAATTTTTTGCTCAGATTATATGCCCAAAAAAGGTTTTCCTGGTTCAAAAGTTTCTTGAATTCTTTCTCATATCCTCTGAAAATATTTTTCACATCATATTCGTAAGCTAGCTCCAATATTTTTTCCGCATCGTTCAATTCGACCACATCAAATGGATAGCCATAAATCAATTTCAAAAATGCTGTAAACGCCTTGAATGATGTCGATTTGATTGGAAAGTCCGTTATGTTAGTTTCTTTACCAAATTTGTTTTCAAAATATGTGCTTTTTATCGCCAAAATGCTTCGGTGTGCCGAAATTCGATCGTCGATTTCATCAAACACAAAATTGATGTCACTTGTTTTAGTGTCATTTAACAGGTGACAAAAAGTTGATCGATCCTCAAATGCATGATTCAATGTCATCAAACGACCTCTGAACACTGGTTTTGGTGGTTTTCTTTGAATCATAGGTGTATCTTTCTGTTCGGTGTCAGCAATCGCCTTGGAAATATCACTTATTTCATTCTTGCTGAAAATGTGCGCATATTTACTGAGACATTGTACGAACTCTTTTGAGCTCATTGATTTAAAGCGAATCTGTTGAAAACAATCACCCAATTCACATCGAATTTTTTCCAATGACACAGTCTGCTTGCTTATGCTAATTACGTATTTGGCCCATTTAACACATGCTTCAAATAATTTCCATTCGTTGCGGCCATCAAATTCATCATTTAAAATAATTTTGACCACATCAAGGCTACAGGTTTTGAATTGTTCGGTTTCTATCAGGTAGTGACTGAAAGAATGAACCATTTCCATGCATTGTTTATAAATTTCCTGACAATTGTATGTGATTGTCAATTGAAGAACCCATAGCATGTCATCAACACCAGTTTCAAGTGTTCTCTTCAAAAAACGATGACATATTTGCTTGCATTTGTTTGCATCGAATTCGTATGCCAAATACATTAATTTCGGTACATCGTCTCGTTTCAAACGCATCGATGATCGATAGAAAGATGACAAAAATATGCAAAATATATCACTGGTTGTGTTCAAGTAATGTTTCTGATTGCCAACGAGTTTATTCTCGAAAAATATTTGGTAAAAAACTTTGCTGTCTGATGCCAAAATAATTTTGTGCACTGGAATTTTCTCCTGGCCATTTTCTTGGAATGTGAATTGAATGTCAGCTGTTCGAGTATTGTAAATGCCGCCAATTAATTGTTGATAATGGTGACTGTTCATTTTTGGTATTTTAAGCGATGGTTCACAGTTTTTAAGATGTGTTCCTTCGTTGTTGACGATCTTACGTTTTACCGGGCATTTCAATACATTGACAGTTTGTGACATCTTTTTGAATAAAAATATTATATATTAGATACTATAATTAAAATTCATGATGTTAGAAATTAAAACAAGAAGTTCTGATACCTTTTAGTTTATTCTACCGTGTTTCTTTATTACGGACTTGTCGAATGTGCTGTGAAGTCGTGCACACAGTGGACGAAACACTGTTTTCTGTGACATTTGGCGCGACTTCAGTTTGACGTTTAAGATGTGAAGCGGACAATGGAAACAATACCAAATTGAATTTGAATTTCATATGAATGATAGCTTCTTATTGCCAATACAATAAAATAACATATTTTTCATAGCCTTCTATTTCTAATCGTCAATATTTTATCAAAATCATGAAGTGTAATTAAGCTAAAAGTATTTATTAACTATAAGCATATTTTATGTTCTACAATTAGAATAGACGACTTTTCAATAAACATTTATTATATACATGCATAAATTATTATATTATCGGAAAATGTTTAAAAATTTCTTTCTAAATATGTTTGTTGGTACATTTTGATAAGTCTTTTAAATAGACACATAACACTAATTTAATGAGATACATCGTTGGCTATTTCTTCTTCTATATATAATGAACTTTACGTTTAGAGACTTCCAACGTCATTGAAACGTTTCAATTTTTCGGGGAAATTATCTTTGTATAATACTGGATCGGCACGAAATTCAACTGTTTTAAGTGGTATGACGCCATATACTTTGGCGAAGCGATCAATGCATGCTGACCGTTCCATCATATGATTTATGTCGGCTGATAGCATTTCGGTATTTGTGCATTCTGGGCACTTGAATTTTTTGCGTGGTGCCACTTTGATTGGTGGTTTCTTTGTGAAATTCGCAACCAAGAAATTCATCGCAATATCTTCACAATTCATGTGATCATCGACCCATTCCTTTATTTCGACTGGCATTTGATTGGTGTACGCATAGCTCCAGTATTTGTGATGAAATGCAGCTCCGGTTAACACCATTGATATTTCATTAGTCCATTCCGATTCGTACCGCCATCGCATCGTTTGATTGTCCCAAATATGAGTTCGACTTGGAAAACCTGACGTTGGCGAACAATGACAATTTATTTAATTCAAAATAAAAAAAACAATTGAAATCAAATCGAACCCGTCTGAAAAGTTCAATCAAACTTACCAACAATTCGATCGGGAAATTCACGCCATACTTCGTATCCAAAATCCAATTCATCTGCTGTTAGCATAATGATATCATCGTCAATTGTCAATATGGCTTCTGTTTCAATTTCTTCATACGGATAGAATCGATTTGATAATTTGTTCGCTTTGGTTCGAATCACCTTAAGTGGTTTGCTGATTTTTGGAAAAATTGATACTGAAATGAAATGAAAGCGTTAGTACTTTATTCACATCACTCCAAACGAGAAAAATTGTTAAACATACTGTGTGGTGGTGCTTCTTTTTCGTTATTCCAAACGACTAGAATTTTTTGCAATGACATAACAACCGACAGTTTTTGAATGAGTTTGAAAAGGCTTTCAATTCGATCATAGGTTAAAATAACGGCAGTGAATCCTTGTGACTTTTGTGCTACTCTAGACAAAAACAATGGATTTTGTATGGCACGTTGCATTGGCATGTTCCAGTCATAGTACGATTTGGCTCGATAAGCAAAAATTCGATCGTTCAGTTCGGCCAATACCGTCTTAATAATTCGTTCATTGGACGCAAAATATTGTTCATAAAGCCATTCGCCTTGTCGTTGTAGTTCATCAATTTTTTGCAATGAAATTGACTTTAATTTTAAATCGATTGATTGCAAATCGACTTCACGCAATGTAATCACAGCTAATGACCAATCGATAATCTATAAAAAAAAAATAAATGAAAAATTCATCTTGAAGTCCTTTACAGCTTTTTTACCATAAATTTTCTTTTATAATTACCTCGGAGAAGGGTAAAATAGTGTTATCGGCAAATATAACGGGTATACAATTGGCAGCAAGCGCTTCAATTAAATTCAATTGAAATAAACGTTCTGTTTTTGCGATCAGGCAAAACTGACTTTGGGCATAAACCGACTTAATATCGTATGTTTTTGTTGTCCCATATGCACAACGCACACCAATCGATGAACGTTTCGCTACATTTTTTGGACATTTATCAAGAAGCAATATCTTACGATCACTTTTTGATGCGATGTCAGTCATGATGCCCAAATGTACCTCATTCAGTTTCAGTATTGAAACCGTTAGCCAAAATGAGCTGCAATGAATATAAAATGTGAATGAATTGATGACTTGAGGAATTTTTAACTTACTTTCGACTTCGGCTCAACGATATAATCTTTCTATCTCTGACATAGCCCAAGAATGGTAATGCAACGTCAAATCCAGTTCGATATGTCCAGCTGTCGAAATTGGCCCCAGCAACGATGGCCCGGTCTGTATTGAGTGATTCAATTCCCTTCTCCGGAGAAACTATATTGAACAGAAGATGATTTTCACCATTTTCCCAACTGAAAAAATAATGAATTTCAGATTTTTTTAAAATAATGAATGAATTTGTGACAGTTTCTAGGTTAAAAAAATGTGATTTTAAATTAAAAATTACCAAAAAAACTTACTGTGGTAAACTGGCAAGAGCTTTGGACACTGTTGACGAATCGATACGATTAAGATTGAGTGTGTCAATACTCGGCACCAAAATGCATGCTTCCTTTGGATCCGACGTGTAATACGGGCTTTCAATGATAGTTTTCAGTATTTCGAAAAACTCTCGGCTTAAAATGGATAACGTTGACTTTGAATCGCTTTGTTCAACATCGTAATAGTCAATCAATGGATAGACGTATACCGACAATCTTTCACCGCATCGATAAATATTAAAACAATCCCAGTACGAGCAATTTTCAATCCGTTGACGAGACAATTCGGCATCTTTTTCCAATTGAATCTTTTCCACATTGTTCAAATCCAACGAAATACGTTCATTACGTTCGTTACCATGTGTTATCGGCGATGAAATAATTATCACATAAATAATTGCAATCCAAATTGCAATGCACACCGCAACACAGTAAATTTTTTGCTCTCGTTCAAATTTATTATTCAACAGCTGACGAACGAGATTTTTCAATAACATTTTTATTGCCTCGACTACAGCCACCGCACCAGAAGAGATTAAAATTATTTTTACGTAAATTCTTACATTATTCGACTTAATCTGAAAAAACAAAAATGTTCTATGAATGTTTGTTTTGGATTGATTTTACGATTGATTATTTTTTTTCAGCTGTCAAAATCAAATGTTTACTGTGCCTGCGCTAAATTCAACATGAAGTTAGCTGTCTCATAAGTTGATATTCAGTGGAGACGGCTTTCACATTTCAAATCATTCGTTGGAACTTTTTCAATGGAAGCGCCCATTTTACAAAAATTAAATAAGACTTGATCGAACTATTGTTTTAATATATTTATTTGATTGCCCGAGAATGAAAGCGAGACTTCTATTCACAACTTATTGAAATGTAACACCGCCATACAGAAAGTGCTGACTGTCGCTTTCATTCTCGGACATTCATTTACTTAATACATTAGTTAATTATGATGCGATTTACATACAATTATTTTAGTTTTGCATTAAATTTGCCACCAAATTATATTAATACACCACACATTGTTTCTCACAGTCTTCCATCGAACCAAATAAATTGTTAGTCGCTAAACATCCTCCGTATGTGAAACTTAAACACTTATTGCTTTGCTTGTCGTAATAAAAGCTTGGAAATGATGCTCTGCATAGACTACTAATGCCCTTTTGTGGATCATCATAACACGGTGAATCGCTTTCAACTAAATTTTTGAGAAAAACAAATTTATCACATTTTATTTTGAATTATAAGCGGCAAGTCTTTCGTTACTTACCGTCTTTGACTGGTTGAGATGAAATCAAGCAGATGCAGTAAGGCAACACCAGAAAAATGATAAAAAATGATTTCATATCTGTACGATGTTTGTTATCCACATTTACAAGAGAGAGACCTAGCGCTGACGACCGAATAGAACCGACAAGTGAATGAAACTAAATATGATGATTTTCATGAATGTGTCATATACACAGAAGAAGTAAAAACAAAACCAGAAATTCCACACGACGAAAACAATACAAATATTTACAAAATATGACCGTTTTGGCAAATCAGCGCGTAAAACTCAAATGAATTTGAATATACTTGATATTTGTACATAGTTAATGACTTTGTAATGATGGTGATTAATGAGTGACGACATTTTTGACAATATGCAACTCAATGACACCACTCTGCGCGCACTAAATTGTAAACATTGTAAAGTGTGCTATACATTTTAAATTTATTTTTCTTTACTGTATTACATATATGAAGAATACATCCATTGACCTTGCAGAAGTAGACAATTGTGAATAGTAAATGATTACCATTCATTTGGGCATTATATCAAATTGTTTGTCGAATTTACACAAAAGGTCACATATAATTCCTGTTATTATTTAAAAAGCGCAATGGTTACAAATTAAACATTCAATTCGTTTCATGCATTTCGTTATAGAAGGTGCAAATTTTTAGTTTTATAAAAATAATTATAGTATATAGGGTAGTTTTTGTTATTATTTGGCTTAATTTAGAAAGAGTTCAATGTGCTACAAAATCGTTGAATATTTTGTCATTGAAATTCGTATTTTTTTCTCTTTGTTTGTTTTCATTCGAAGCTTTGTTAATTATTTTAAATTTAACTTTTTAACATTTACTTAAATATGTATGATCTTTAAAAGCAGAAAAAAATTAAGGGCATATATTGGACACTTGATGTAAATGGATTGCAATTTGTTCGGCAAAGTACTTTCTTCAAGTTACGCAGACCATTCATGAATGTTGAGTGTTTTCGAGTACTTTATTTGATTTACACAATTATGGCAGAGACTTCAGTTCTGGTTATTTAATGAATTTACGAGAAAGCTAAAAATTGGCCAACAACCAAGGGGCGAATTAGTACCAAACGACGATACCGACGAGTGTTAAATTATGACGTTTATGTTTCGGTAAATTTGGCTATGTTTTATTGCTCGTTGTTATTTTGGTACTGTTTCGCCCCTGCTATCTAATAGTCTATCTATAATTGTTTATGGTATGGTTTTTTTGCCTCTCTTCGCGTCAATCACTACACGCCGCCACCTTTTTTTGGTCCACACTGACTTTAAGTTGTTTTGAAATAAAATTTTATGCGCCAATAATAATAGAAAAGTTAGCTAATATAACGTTATGTCGATTTTGTTCATTCATCAATTTGAAGATTATTATCGAATAAAGTAGTATTAGATTTGAAACGCAAAAGATGAACTTTGTAATAATAAGATTTAGTATTCGTATATGAAGAACTTCTGGTAAAACCATGGGGTATCGTTCAACTTTATATTGCCATAGAAATCGGTTAATTCAACGCAATCTTTATTCACAGTCACATAATTTGGTTCACCTGGTTTCCAGTTTGAATATGTGATTGGTTTTCCATTTCCGATCCAGTAGAAATCTCCGCCACCATTCGATCCAAAATTGGTGCCCGACGTCCAAAATGATTCCATGCCCAGACCTTTTTAAATAACATTTCCATTTAAATAAAACTATTAGATACTTGATGTTTATTTATATATAATTTGTGTTTGTCATATAACACAATGAAAATCGTCTAAAATCTATGTTTCGAATTGATATGCTAATACTTTTATTGCATTTTTGGTGTGAAATCTAGCGTATGAGTGAATGTAGACGGTTCTCATTTGAAATGAAATTTACTTACCGGCATCTTTGATCATTCTAATGATTCGCTCGTTTTCTTCTTTTGTTGTGATGCTAACCAAGTGCATGTTGCGTGTCGAATAGTAGTGAAGTGCTTGGAACCAATTGCTCTGCAAAATTGTCCAATTAAAATGCTTATTATAAATTATTTGAATGACAAATACACAATCACACACATTTGATTTACCTTAAAAGAGCTATGAAGGTAATATTTTTTTGTTGAGTTTGGAAATGTTTTGAGAGTTGCAAAGATATGTAATGCAAAATAACAAAATCAAAATTCAATCAATGATTTCAAGTTAGAATCGAATCAAATTCACAAAAAAAAAAAATTGTAAATAGATTATTTACGTATCTGCATCGTCCATACGTTCTAAAAGTCGGCCAATGTACTCAATCGTATGCCCAACGTTTCACAATATTGCAACGCTTTTTTTTAGATTTTCCTATGAACGTACATTACAAATTCGTTTTATTTATATAAAAACATGTATACTAATTATATTGAGAACGGATTAATTTGTACGTGATGGGGAAAAAGGTGTTTTTTCGTCGTAAACTGCTATGTCATTTCATTCAAGGCCAAATTGATTGACTCGGATGCAATATTTTATTGCAAATAATCGAAACGCAATTTTAAAATTAAGATGAGTTGCTGACTTAAGTTTGAAAACTGTCCAGCTGTTGTCTTATCAACAGCTGCGCATCTTTCATAACTGGTTCAAACGGTCGAATCAACATCATTAATATTTTTCCTGATTGTTTGTTTATTTTATTTACGATTTTGCATCTCATTTAAAAGAGTTGCCCAAAATGAGCATTTTTTTAGCACACACAATGTAAAATGCCATATGATTTTGTGCTTATTCGTACTAAATACGCAACTCCTTTATTTATTTACATATGTTCAAATCGTCAATCAATATTCATATTGAATTTAATTAAACTATATAAAATCAAACGTTATCAGTTCGCTCAATGATAATAAATCAATTAAAATTTTAATGGATGTATGATTAATTGAGTTTTATGCAAAAGTGAAAAAGACATACCCTTGAAAATGTGCTGTTTAGGTTCAATTTGTCTTGAACTGGAGTGTATGTGATGTCTCCAAAAATGGACACTGCATTGGAGTCGGGACGCAAAAAATAGAAATGAAAAGAACATTTTTATGAAAAAATAAACAAATTTTCCTCACAAAAGAAAAACACTTATGTTTTATGTTATGTTTTTATGTTTTCAACTCGCAATATAAAATGGATCCTTTTATGAAGAACCAAAAGTGACACTCAATTGGTTTTAAACAGAGAATGCCATACGGCTTGCTATAAGCAGCTTGCTTGCCTGCGTCGCCTATCGTGCGGCAAGCAAGGAAACATGCGGACACATATACGGCAAACGAACCATATGTACCAAACAGTTTTCGTTCGTGCGAGATGCGGTGATGTCCAACACATCACCAATGAAGAACCAGAAAAATCAAGCGTAGCCAAACATATGATTGAAAACGGTCACAAAATGAGCATAGCAAACTTGAAACTTTTACACCGAGTTAACAAGTGCAATGAACTTGATGCATATGAGTCGTATTACATCAACAGGAACAAAAACAACAGTATGAATGAAAACGACGGACCGATCTATAATTCCATTTTTGGCAAATTCGATGTGTAGTTCTTGGTTAACTTTGATTATTTTTATTGTACATAGTTTATTTACTTTTTACAATATACCATTGTTTTTGTTGTCATTTCATTTTTATTTTAAAAATCAGTTTGTTCATCTAACTCACTGAAGAAGGAAGCATTGTTTCCGAAATACGTATATGAGTATTTTTGATACCAATAAAGTGTATTAATTTTGAAAAACAAAATAAAAGTTTCATACTTTTTTCAATTATTTAAAAATACACGTAAATCACCAAATTTCATACAACCAATTATTGTTGAAATCGATAGAATTCATTGAGAACTATCTGATTTAAGACAAAATTTTGGTTTGCAAGCAGAAAAAACCACAATAATGGCTCACTTCTTAAAATATGACATTTCCATGAAAAAAGAACCATCTGTTTAACTTCACAAAAAAACACCAAATTAATTATTTCTCGTCTGTTTTTGGATGTATGTTATAGGCGAAGGTCCAAAATACTTGAAACGAGCAACAATTGGCGCGAAGGTTCGAGAGAAAGTTGAAAGAAATCGACAAGTCGGTCCGCCAATGCATGATTTTGAAGGTTCGATACAAACTTCGACAAATCGAAGACAATGGTCCATTCAGTGTAATGCAAATGTGCTATTCGATAGCCCATGAATAAAGGTTTAAATCAATAAAAAAGAATTTAATAGTGTGTGTTTGTTGTTCAAATGACATGCTTATGAATTTGTGCAAATTTCAGTGGGACATATGTTATCACTGTTCTTAACAGCACCTGTTACCGTTGAGTACCGAAATATGGAGGTCTTCGTCATCAATCGAGCAATTTTGATGGTTTTACCAAAAATTTACAAGGAAAAATTAAACTCTCCGTCATCAATCGAGCAATTTTGATGGTTTTACCACAAATTTACAAGGAAAAATTAAACTCTACATGAAAAATGTTATGCTGAAATGGTTCATTCTTACTTAATTTTACACGAGGAATCGATCTAAGTAAAAATCAATACTCAATCATGACAATTGAGTTAACTTTTTTTGGGCATTTTTGTGGAAAAGTGTGCGAAATCGCCATTTTCCAAATGGCCACCTATTACTGGTCACTACAAGCCAAAAAATACCATTAAAATATAGCCATATAGACTCAATTTTTATGTAGAATATGATAGAATTGAAAAAACGAAGAAACGAACGCGTATAAGTATGTCAAAACCGGCTGCAAACTACCCATTTATCGATATTTGCAAT